ACCTATATATTTATATAAGCTTAAAGTATTCGGTTTATTCAATAACAGGATTTTAAGCAGAACAAGAACTTCAAATCGGACTATTCAACTAGTAACCCAGCTATTGACCTAAAAGGATAACAAATTGGATCCAATACTAGCATGAGACTGAGGTCAAGAAATAAAACCTTTCTTGTCAACTCTCCTCTTAGATGAACAGTCATTGACCTCGGAATATGCCCTTTGGGTACATGTTCAGCTAACTCTTGCATCTTAGCCTGCAAAATATTGACATTTTACTCATTAATATTGATATCAGACAATTTATATAAGAGCCGTGAACAAGACTGAACCTCCTGAAACTTTAGAAACTTTGATGCTCTAAGCTGAAGAATTGGATTTCCGGCTTTGCTGTTCATGCGACAGCGGCTAGAAGGGCACTTAAACAAAGGCATGAAAACTCTAGATGTAACTTCCTGATTTAACCACATAACAGAAAGATAATCAGAACTGATAAAATAGTTAGGAAAAAAAATAAATAAAAAACTACAATGTGGGAGACATACATAGTTGGGGGTACCTGATAAATTTCATGACCACAGTCTTCACATGTGTATACAGCAACTGCCATCAATGGCTTAACATCAGAACAACGAGTCACAATACCAGATATCCTTACAAGTGTCCCAATGTGTGAAGCCTTAACATCCCTAATGGTAGATGGCCTTCCCTTTGAAAGAGCTTTAAAATAAACCTCACTGAATCAAAACCAAAAACTCATTAGCAAAATTTCAATACAAAAAATCCAAAACAATAAAGATTCTCTCTCACAAATACACACTATAGAAGATCATTAGAAAAAGAGAAAAAAAAAAAGACTTACTAAAATCTTTTAATCTCCGAAGGAATTTGCTGATGCGGATCAGGAACATCGGCGCTATCAGTTCCGTCTTCTGCTCTCTGTGTCATGAGTATATCATGATCATCATCTGGAAATGCCTCTGTGGGTTCAGGTAGAAGCTCGTCGATAGCAGCGGAGAAAATCGAAACATATCGTCGAGTGTTCTCAGTCAACCGTAAGAAAAAATCCTCTTTATAATCCTCGTACTACAAACATCAAAATACACAAGTAAATTCACTTTGGCTTT